GTTTGTTCCTACCTCCAACCCCACATGTCTCTCACCAGTCCCCTGTGACTTACAGCACCTTTGTTCCAATCTGAGCTTTCTCCACGACAGGCTGTAGCTGCACGTTTCAGCACATAAACACCAACTCCCACCTGCCATACTTGGGAATCAAGCTATACGCAGACACAGAAGGATGTTTCTTAATTGCCAAAAAGAAAACCAAATGCAGGCAGAGTTTAATAAAACATAAAACACACATCTCTGCTGTATATGAAGCCCAACTTCCCTTGTCTGCAGTCCAATTTCCATAGCAGAGATGGCCTTATACCAAAGAAAATCACATTTTCTGTCAAGCAGAGATCCCAAGAACTCCCAGAGCACTCCCTGACCCAGACTCTGTCCATTTTCACTCCCATCTACTCACACCTTCAAGTCATGAGCTCCCTCGATTCACAGAGGGAAGAAAAGAATCAAAAGAAATGAATCACCCTCTTTTGCACAGCCAAATCTGCACTCATCCAAGTTTATCTGGGTTACAGGTGCATCTTCAGGTAGGCTCTGCAACATCTAGATCCACTCATTTCTCTTTCTCGTCCAACACGCGACAGCTCGGGTGCAATTGTCCAGGCTTCCTCTTCTACTCAAGGAAGAGAAATGAGTTGTCTCGACTGAGATGCTTTGGTTCACCCTGCATGTCCACAAGCTCCCCCTCCAGAAAGTCTCCCTTCAGCCCAGGGTCATATTTCCCTGTCCCATGTCAGGGTTTCATGTACCCTCATGTATCTTGGAGGTGGTGACCACCACTTTGTGATCAACTGCATCAACTCTGGAGTGAAGATATTAGCCAAAAGTTTAACCATTTGCAGAAAAGTCTTTGGTGCAATCAGTGTGTAAGGGGAGTTCATTTTCAGAACTTTGACATTGTTCTCTACATTCCCGTAAATATTTTCATAGGCCATGGACAAGGACCAGCAACCTGATGACACTTTCTCTCCCCTATATATAGACAGATTGATAAATCTGATTCTTTTGGACAGGTGACATTTGAGTCTGCTCAAGTAGCCCCTGATTTCATTCCTATCCACCTTCGGCTGTTTTCCTCCAGATGCCTGCCCTGAGGTACAATGGCTTAGGAGAACTTAGAGAAAGATGAGGCAAAGAGGACATGAAATATCTCATCTCTCTCGCCATCTACATGTGATAGAAATAGGACAGTGAAGTGCAGTCCTGGGTAGATTCAGGTTTATTTTACTGCTGTCTTCTCTGCTAGGGAGGGACATCATTGGATGTGGAGGTGATCTCCATGAACAACTAGGTTCTGCTGACAGGCCCATGTGAAAATTGTTGGTCATTTCCTTGACTGCATCTTCAAGGGGTTGGGTACTGTTTGTTGGAGATAAAACCCAACAGTCTGAGAAGATAAACACTTGTGTGGAGACTGCGGATTGATGTGCCTTTTGTTCCTGGACTGCTCTCCATCTCCTGGATAGAGAAGGGACAGACCTTGCCACACTGCAGTGGTGGCAGTCAGTGGCTTGCACAGCAGCCCCGAATCTGTCTGCGGTGCTGTGCGGGGGGTCTGTGACAGCCCCGATCTGGAGGGAGATTGCTTGCATGTATAGTACCAGTGCTGTCCCAGCCAACCCCATGGACCTGAGTGCGAGAGCTTTGGCACCTCACGTAACACTGGAAGCCCCTGTTTGTCATTAAACAGCATAAATGTCCTAAGATTGGTGAAGCAATTTGGAGGTGTTCATGAGACCACTGTTGTGGGGATCAAGTAAATTCAGCTGATGGAAAAGACAAGAGAGAAACTGAGCTCTCCCAAATGTACATGACTCCATTTGCTCAGAGGAATCCTTGCACAGGCTGCCCGGAACAAAACAGACAGTGGCAGAGTCACTTATACTAAATGTGGGAATCTGCTGTCATTGCTGTTGGCCAAAGATGTTCCCCTTCAGACTCCAAGAAGATGAACCCAGATGCTGTCCTGACTCTCAGCACTGCTCCATTGGAGCTTGCAGTCTTCTGCACATTTCTTGGAACACCTCCTGACCCTCAGATATCTCTAACTGTGTCTGAACAGCTCACTCATGATATCCATCTCTATCATGACCTGAGATGACAAAAGGAGCTCAGCTACAGGTGCCTCCCAATAAGAGCCTGGGTGTCCTATGTAATGACAGGACAGTAAAGACTGATTATAGGAACCAAATTGGAATTTAGAAGCAGAAATGGCAGTGCTGGAAATTAGTGTCTATCCCAGCTGAAGGAGGGATTATCAGTGATTGCATCAGGCTGTGTCACAGCAGGTTCCCTGGAGCCCCAGGGACAGCTGGAGGGAGCCCAGAGGGGCCACAGCAAGTGGCACCTTGGGCTGTTGCTGTGGTGCTGAGCTGGGCCGGGCTCCTGGGCCGGAGGGAGCTCCTGGCAAGTGGGCAGCGCTGCAGAGAGACAGCTCTGCCCAGGAGCAGCTCCTCTGCAAAGCGCAGCAGGGCTGGGGGCACTGCCTGCAGGCACCCAGGGCAGAGCAGCGAGGCACACACAGCTTCAAGGCAGCCTGGGCTGGGAGGCTGCTGAGAGCTCCGAGGAGGAGAAAGCGTCAGGGCCCTGGCCACAGTAAGTCTGGGGGTGCAGGGCAATGCAGCTGCAGCTCGGGGAGGGATCTGGGGAAGGCGGCAGAGCCGCCAGGAATCTGCCTCCTGCCTAGAGGAGGAGAGGAGGAGAGGAGGAGGATCTGCTCCCGAGCAGGGCTTCCCTGGTGCCCCCTGCGAGGGCCAGGGCATGAGGGCTGCCTTCTGGCGGGGCCGGCTGCAGGGCTGTGCAGCCGGGTGTGCAGGCAGGGGTGCCCAGGGCTGTCCTTCCCAGCAGGGTCCCTGCACCCCAGGGGGCTGTGTGCTGGGGCAGGGACTCTGCCGCCTGCCAGGGTCAGCACTCAGCCTGCCCGGGGAGCTCCCCATGGCGCTGTGGGGAGAAGCTGTGGGGGGAAGGAGAGACCCCCGCCAGGGCAGGCTCCTTCTGCTCTGCAGAGGCTGCTGCTGCGTGGATCAGGGATGCTCATAGCTCCAGATTATTCCCAGCTCATTTCCCAGGGAACTTGTCACAAGTACTTTCATCTCAGAGATATTCTGTTTCTGTCTGTTCTTTCTGGACTCTCTGCTTCTACTTTTCTGTGGCCTCAATCTTTCTATCTCTATCAGCTGTGCAGATGAGAGCGGGGGCTGAAATTCTTAAGCTGTAACAGTGAGGTTCACTAGGAACCTCAGCAAGTGCCTTCATGCCCCAGTAGCCCACAGAACACACCAGCATCACCTTTCCATTTTCATCAGGTTTGGGTGGGCTGTGCTTTTACCCCTGTACACACGGAGTGGCTGCATGGCAGAGCTGTGCTCACAGGGGCTGGGTTGGGGACTGTGAGCACTGGCAGGGAGGAAACATGGGCTCAAAGACAGAACTGCCAGCCTGGACAGCTCGAGGCAGTGGAGACGTGGGCAGGGAGGGAGGGAAATGCTAAGGGAAACCCTGCTGCAGGGCAGACTCCTTCCCTGAGCAACACTCCTCTTGTCTCCTCTGCCACCCAGCACAGCCCTTAGCCCGTGGCTCCTGGCCGTTAGTCACCTCCTGGCCCAGCAGCCCAGCAGAAGGGATGAAGTGCATCTCTGCTGCCAGGGGCCCAGTTCCCGCTGAGCAGGGCCTGAGGGCGACTGTCCTGCATTGCTGCTGTCTGGGAGGTGCTGTGCAGAGCTGCAAAGGGAAAGGCTTTCCTGAGTGCCCGTCTGTCCCTCTCCTTGCCTTGCTCAGATGCCCTTGGTGTTGCTGACAGGCTCTCGGGAAGGGGGGTTTCAGCTGCAGAGTCAGGCACAGAGCTTGGAGCCCTCCTCTGCAGATGTGCCCCCAGCAATGAGGTGTCCCAGCTTTCCTCTAAGCCGTGAAGCTCTGGGAAATGCAGTCTGTGAGGCTGGGCCAGGAGCTGGCTCTCCCTTAAGAATTTTCCATGGTTCAGACCCTTGGCTCTCTCCTTGGGGTGTCCATCCCAGCTGTCTGCTGCTTCCAGGGGACTCTGTGAGCCGTGGGTGTCATTGGCTAAAGTGGGGTGCTGAGACTTGGAGAAAGGGTGAGTCATTTGGCGCTCTGCAGTGGATCCCTCTGCTCTCAGCTGTGTCTGGTTGCTTTTCAGATTAACATGTGCTTGTGAAGGCTCTCAGACTCAGAAAAATGCAAGTCCAGGGCAGCTGGGAACAAGACAGAAAGACAGACCAGCTGCTCTCACTCTGCACTAAGGCACAGAAAATCCTCTTGCCTCACACGACTCACTCTGCTCTCCCTGAGTGCAGCAGAAAACCCTCTCAGCCTGTCTTCTGCTTTCCCCATTCCTCACCACTGGTAGAGCAAATGCTGACAAGCCCTTCTGGGTTAGGGCAGGTTTTTCTGACAGAGTCACACAAAGATCTCACTCCTTGGCAGACAGCATGCAAAAACCCTTCCCCTCATGAAATGCTTGTCCAGCACCTACCACAGCTCCAGCTACAGAACTGAAGGAAGATCTCAAAAAAGTGGGGTGCCATGTAGTGACAGGGATGGAATAAGGACAGCGGTGTTGATATTTATAGGAGAAATATACCCTAATGTGTTGTCATCTTTCCTCCTTGAACAGGCTCATATGTCCAGACAAAGCAAATGTTAAATAACAGATCCATCACCCACTTCCTCCTCCTGGCATTTGCAGACAGACGGGAGCTGCAGCTCCTGCACTTCTGGCTCTTCCTGGGCATCTACCTGGCTGCCCTCCTGGGAAACGGCCTCATCATCACCGCCATCGCCTGCGACCACCACCTCCACACCCCCATGTACTTCTTCCTCCTCAACCTCTCCCTCCTCGACCTGGGCTCCATCTCCACCACTCTCCCCAAAGCCATGGCCAATGCCCTCTGGGACACCAGGGACATCTCCTATGTGGGATGTGTTGCACAAGTTTTCTCTTTGTATTTTTGTTACCATCAGAGTATGTTATTCTCACAGTCATGGCCTACGACCGCTACGTTGCCATCTGCCAACCCCTGCACTATGGGACCCTCCTGGGCAGCAGAGCTTGTGTCCACATGGCAGCAGCTGCCTGGGGCACTGGGATGCTCTATTCTCTCCTGCACACAGCCAACACATTTTCCCTACCACTCTGCCAAGGAAATTCCTTGGACCATTTCTTCTGTGAAATCCCCCAGATCCTCAAGCTCTCCTGCTCAGATTCCTACCTCAGGGAAGTTGGGCTCCTTGTGGTTAGTGTCTGTTTAGGATTTGGGTGTTTTGTTTTCATCGTGCTGTCCTATGTCCAGATCTTCAGGGCCATGCTGAGGATCCCCTCTGAGCAGGGACGGCACAAAGCCTTTTCCACGTGCCTCCCTCACCTGGCCGTGGTCTCCCTGTTTGTCAGCACTTCATTTTTTGCCTACCTGAAACCCCCCTCCATCTCTTCCACATCACTGGACCTGTTGGTGTCATTTCTGTACTCGGTGGTGCCTCCAGCAGTGAACCCCCTCATCTACAGCATGAGGAACCAGGGGATCAAGGATGCACTGAAGAAGCTGATTCAGTCAGTTTTCTCTCACCAGCAATAAACTGCCTTTGTTTCTTCAGAAGTGATTCAAATTAATCTCTGAAACCTACTGTACATTGAGCATTTTATCTCTCTAAATCTTTTTTTTTTCTGTAAATATCTGTAGTCAGTCTTATTCTTCAGAGATATGAACCAGCCTCTCTGACAGAGAGGCCTTTTGCATGTGTCTGGTAGGACATTACATCTGGTCTCTCATGCAGCATAACCATAATAAAAGGGGATTTTCTTAGTACCGATGTCTGGAGGTTGGTCTCTTCTTCTCAAGCTGAGGTCAGGAACAGGCTGAAGGAATTGCCCCTCTGAGCGTGCTGCTGTGCTGGGGTTCTCCAGGGGTTCAGGGCAGGAGGGCATGGGGGGATGTGTTAGGGAATAGGCCTGTGCTGCCCCTTCACGTGGGGGTGCCCAGTGCAATGGAAATGATGGCTGATCCATGGGGATCTCCCTGGGACCATCTCCCCGTGGCTTTCAGCCACCACTGCCCTGCAGAGCAGCACCGCCAGCTCAGGGCCGTGCCTGAGGTGACATCCCACGACAAGAGCAGACCTATTTCTGGAGGCACCAGTTTGGGCAGCTTTTCTCTCGCTGGCACAGCAGGAGCTGCCTGGGGAGCCCCCAGTGCAGGAGTCTTGTGCTGGGGAGAGGGACGGGCACAGAGGGGCTGCCAGCACTGGGCAATCAGGATCTCTTGGAGAGAAGAGCAGCAGAGAGAGAGAGACGCTGGCCTGCGTCTGCTCATGGCATGGCTGGCCCCAGCCCTGGGGCTGATGGGGAGGCTGAGAGCCCGCTGTGCCCCAGGAGCTGCTGTGACCTTCCGAGGGGCTGTGGCTGTGGGGTGAGTGCCCAGAGCTCTGCAGCACCCTGCGCTGGGCAATGCCATGGGGCCAGCCAATACTGGGCTGTTGTTCTGGGCTGGGCTGGGGGGAGGGAGGTGCAGATGGGGAGTGCTGGGGAGGGGCTGATGAGAAAGTGCCTGGGAGAGAATATGCCATTGCACAGCTTATACTGTGTGAGCGTGTAGAGTGAGCACTCACTCCAGTGGATGAATTGTGTGGAGCCAGGGCTCGTAAAAAAGATGAAATACATGCAGGTGCAGGAGAGAGGGTGCCAGTCTGAGCTCTCGGTGGCCTGGCCAGACTGGGAAGGTGTCCCAAGACATTTGTCACCCCCCAGCCTTTCTCAATGACCATTTCCAGAACTGGCTGCTCACCCAGGTTTATGGGAGTCTGGCTGCTAAACCATCTCCATCCTTCTGCTGATCACAATTCCTGTATGGGGAGACCGGCCAGCCCTGCCTGGCCTCTATCCTGGCCCCGATCCCAGCAGAGTAAAGAGAAGGGCGATCTGTAAAGCCCCATGTTGGACACGGCTAGGGCTGGGAAAGGGTCAGGTACTGGGTTAAGCTGCAAATCTCATGTTATGGGGTTATATCTTGTTGGAGTTAACGTGGGACACTGAATTGAGTACTCTCACTGGCATCATAATGGGGGGAACTTCCCAAACACCTGAATGTACCAGCAATCCCATGACACTTTCTCTCCCTCTTTATAAATCTATACTCACACAGACATTTCTAAAATATGTTTCCTATGAACGCTTTTAATGGTGAACTTCTAAACAGGACATGTTTCTATTAAGACATTTAATGTATTCATTTCATCTAAACAGAACTGAGAGAAATGGAGGCTGAAGAGGTTAGATAGACCCCAGTAGTATTTATTTGCTATCACAAAAATAAAGAATTGGTAGCATTTCCATCATATCTTCCCTGTGTTTGAGCTGGCTGAGTCCTTCTAGGGTGTAAAATTACAGAACTTCAGGGCACTCCAAGTGCCAGGCCCCAATGGACACACAGAGGTCCAGAGCACAGCCAACAAAAGGAAATGTCCTTCCTATCTGATAACCTGATAAACTTCTCCAGTGACTGACTGGCTTGATAGAGGAGTAGAAATTGTCCACCTGGACTTCAGGAAGGCTTTTGACACTGTCTCCCAAAAAATCCTCATCGAAGAGCTGGTGAAGCAGAGGCTGGAGAAGCAGACAGTGAGGTGGTTGAAACCTGGCTGAACGGCTGAGCCCAGAGAATGGTGGTCAGTGGCATCAGGTCTCGATGGAGGCCGGTCACCAGTGGGGCACTACAGGGGTCAATACTGGGTCCAGTCCTGTCCCTCCAAACCTCAACTTTACTGTAATTTGATGGTCCTGTGACATCCTTTCTTGGAAATCAGTGCCACCGGGCACCTCTCTGAAGTGCCAGTGCACTGATATGCGGGGCATGCAGAAGGAGGAATTAGACGTCTGTGTGTGGTTCCAGTGGGCTACAGGCTCATGTGGAGAGCAGCGTGGGTGTGAGATAGCACACAGCAGGAGCGCGGGCAGGGACGGACAGGCCTGTAAGGCAAGGAGGGGTGTTGGAGAATGGCTCAGAGACAAGGGTCCTGAGCCCACCGAGCAATTGTATGATCAGAGCCTGCTCTAGCTGCTGATGCTGGGCCTCACTAGGGTTTGCCTGCAGCTGCTCGCAGCTGCTGATACATGAAGAATGTCAAGGACGCTTCAGCCCTGTGTACCGTGGTGTGTCGAAAACAGGTTAAGGGGAATTAGGAATAGTGGTCTGAGAAACCTAGTGTTATGATAACGGTGGTCTGAGAAACTTTGTTATGGTACTGTCGTGTATCGAAAACAAGTCAAGAGGAATTAGAAATAGTAGCATGAGAAACTTAGTGTTATGAGAAGCTTGTGCTGTAGCTAACTGCAAGTAGGTGGACCGTGCGAATACGACCTTTAGAGCTTAAGCCAATCAGCTAGTGACTAGTAGGCATAATTAGTAGAAGGATTATAAAAGGCTGTAACGAAAATCAATAAAATGAAGCATGCTTTATCACTCATATTGAGTCGGCTGCGTTCTTCCTCCTTTAGCCTGGGTCCTTGGCATGTTGGTTATGACATCCCTAATGGCGTGGCACTCCTGCCCTATGATGTCATCGTGTCTCCGCCCCCCCAGTCATGGTGGCCAAGAAGAGGAAGCTCTTCAACATGGATGAGCATTTTGTGGGGC